CATTTCATTTTGGGACAGTCTCTTCCCACACCCCCTACACCTCCTTCCCCCCCACCCCCTGAGAATTGTCAGTCCACTCCCTTTCTATGCCCCTAATTCTATTATATTCACCAGTTCACTCTGTTCATCAGATTTTTTATTCATTTGATTTTTAGATTCACTTGTTGATATGTTTTTGTTGTCACTTCGTTGTTCATAATTTTTATTTTTACCTTTTTCTTCTTCCTCTTCTTAAGGAATACCCTTCAGCATTTCATATAATTCTGGTTTGGTGGTGATGAACTCCTTTAGCTTTTTCTTGTCTGTGAAGCTCTTTATCTGACCTTCAATTCTAATTGTTAGCTTTGCTGGGTAGAGTAATCTTGGTTGTAGGTTCTTGCTATTCATCACTTTGAATATTTCTTGCCACTCCGTTCTGGCCTGCATAGTTTCTGTTGAGAAATCAAGTTGTATGGGCACTCCCTTGTAGGTTATCTGTTTTTCTCTTGCTACTTTTAATATTCTCTCTTTGTTTTTTGCCCTTGGCATTTTAATTATGATGTGTCTTGGTGTGGTCCTCTTTGGATTCCTTTTGTTTGGGGTTCTCTGTGCTTCCTGGACGTGTAAGTCTATTTCTTTCAGCAGGTAGGGGAAGTTTTCTTTCATTTCTTCAAATAGGTTTTCAATATCTTGCTCTCTCTCTTCTTCTGGCATGCCCATAATTCAGATGTTGGTATGCTTGAAGTTGTTCCAGAGGCTCCTTATACTATCTTCATATTTTTGGATTCTTTTTTCTTTTTGTTTTTCCTGTTGGGTATTTTTTGCTTCTTCGTATTTCAAATCTTTGACTCAATTCTTGGGATTCTCTAGTCTGCTGTTGATCTCTGTACATTATTCTTTATTTCAGTCAGTATATGCTTAATTTCTGATTGGTCCTTTTTCATATCCTTGAGGGTCTCAATATATTTCTCAGAGGTTTCTAGAAGATTCTTGAGTAACCTTATAACTGTGGTTTTGAACACTATATCCAGAAGTTTGCTTTCCTCCATTTCTTTCATTTGTGACATGTTTCTTTGTCTCCACATTCTGGCTGCTTCCCTGTGTTGATAGAGTGGCCTTCTGTGGTAGGTGTCCTAGAAGGCCCAGTGGCTCAGCCTCCCCAGTTACCTGAGGTGGACACTCTTGGTGCACCCCTTTGTGGGCTGTGTGCACAGTCTTGCTGTAGTTAAGGCTTGATTGTAGTTGGTATCACTGGGAGGAGTTGACCTCCAGGCCAATTGGCTGTGAGGACCGGCTGTGTCTACAATGAGAGAACTGCTGTGCTGGAGACACCCTTATGGGGCAGGACTTGCTTCAGTGGGGCTTTGGTTCTCACTGAATCTGCCCCTTGAGTGTGTCGCTTATGGATGTGAAGAGCTGTAATCTGTATGGTCTCACCATGACCACTGGGTACACTGGCTCTTGGATCTCCAAGGAGATGCAAAGTCAGCTGATGCTTGAGACCACCCAGCAGGAGCTACAGAGAGATCTGCCTATTCCTCCTATTTATTGGGGGCCTGAAAATGCCCAGATGAGGCCCAGCTATGAAGCAATATAGGCTGCTTTTGCAGGGTCTTAAGCCTTTTGGAAGCTTTGGAGTTCTCTGACCCAGCTGTAGTTTGTTAGGTTTTAGGTTGCAAAATGACAGGCCATTCATATGCAAAAGATGCTGCATACAGCTTGGGTGGGGCGGCATCTCAGGGAATCACCAGTGTGGAGCAAACAGCAATGCCTTCCAGTCAGCCCTTTCCCAGAGAGGTCCCCAGGCCTCTGTGTCCCGTGGCACTGTGAAGAAACAATGAAGCACCTCTGAGAGAAAGCCGCCCTCGTGTTCCGGCCAGATGCCAGACAGTCCAGTTTCTCCTCTTATGAGTCTGAGTCCTCAGAGTCTCCCCCAGAACTGGAGTTCAGAGCAATCGGGAGCTTGTATCTCCTTCCCAATTGAAAAAAATAACAGCGCACCCAGTTGCCAGCCTGTTTCGCACACGCCTCCGTACCTCTGCACTTCCGCACCTCCGTACCTCCTACTGACTCAACCTGCTTTTTTCTTTGCTTCTAGTTGTATAACTTCCACTCAACCAGCTTTCCTGTGGTTCTGGATGATATTTGTTTTGTCTTTTAGTTGGATTTTGATGTGGTTGTGAGAGGTGGCATGTACAGGTGCTTACCTATGCCGCAATCTTGGTTGTCTCCTAGAGATAAATTTAATCTATAAGGTTAAAAATCATTACTTGGAATAATATAACACAGTAACATAGACAATTGAAGAAGGTACAAAGAAATGGAAGCTTGTATCCTGCTCATGGATTGGAAAAGTTAACATTGCTAAAATATCCATACTACCTAAAGCAGTCTATAGATTCCAGGAAATCCCTCTAAAAACAACAATGTCATTTTTCACAGGAGTAGAACAAATAATCCTAACATTTGGAACCACAAAAGACCCTGAATAGCCATGGCAATCTTGAGAAGTAAGAACAAAGTTGGAGGTATTTCGCTTCTTGATATCAAACTATACTATAAGGGTATAGTAATCAAAACTGCATGGCAATGGCGTAAAACACACATAGATCAATGGAACAGAATTGAGAGTCCAAAAATAAACCCATGCCTTTGTGGTTGATTTATATATGACAAAGGAAGTAAGAACATACAATGAGGCAAAGGCTGTCTACTCAATAATTAGTGTTGGGAAAGTTG